GACTAAAAGTTGGCAACCGGCCCCTGCCTGGGCCGAGTAACGCTAGGGCTTTTTGTGTAATGAATAAAAAAAACAAGTATCGCAACAGAACGGAACCAGACCCTGCTGGTTACGCCGAACAGGTTGAAGGTGCAAACTGTTGAGTGCATGTGTTGTTTGTTCCTTTGAATAAAGTGGGCTTGCCTAGGGTCACTTAAATGCACAAATACGCGAACTGGGATAACACAAGCCTCAGGAATTCTCAGTCATTGCTGAGACAAGGTACGGATATGCAAGATCGTTGGGTTATTGCAGACGTGTAAGCGATGAGGCAACAGTGAAACCAGCCTTAAATGGTGGTTGTTTCTGATTTGTAAGCCTTTGTCAGCCTTCCACATACCCTACCCGAAAAACCTGAAATTTAATTTTGAGCTGATAACCAAACAATTGAGATGGCTATCCTAAAGGCTACGATCTGCGTTCCTTTTTTTATTAACAACTTCTCGCGGTCATGCATACCGGCAGACCGCCGGACTACAGATTGGAATTTAATGGTCACCCGGGGCAGTCATCTTTCTTGTGGCGATCTTTCTAGACTCAGCTGCACCTCTGTAACCATCTACCTATGACTGTCTTTGGCACCAGGGGCAATGGCAAAGTTTTCATTACGGCCAAATGTTCGAAGGCAAGATAACCAGGTGATGATTTTCACCGTTTAATCCACTGAAGCCACCTAGGACCGGTAATTAGCGTGTGATTACACGTAGGCTTGGGCCGCATCTACCTAACTCTTTCAGTCTTCCTTACTCAGCAGCAGTTTGCAATGGGAAACGAAAGTCAAGGCGACCGAAGATGGGTTCATTCACAGTGGCTTACAAAGCAAATAGTCCCCTTACGTGATCTGGCCCCGACAATTGGGTATCAAGCACCCGGGTGCTCTGCTTTGCTCTGTCTTGAGCGGAGCAGAAATAATAAATGACTGGCAGTCAGAAAGGCCTACCGAATAAGCCAGTGTCTGTGTCCTTCCGAATTCCTATGCATCCAAGTCTACGTAAACTGAACAGTCTCCCAGCCAATAGAACTTCTAAGTGTCGCAATTTGTAGGTTAGCATTCCACGTTCTGACTGAGAGTATCAAAATGCCCCCCCCCGCAAAAAGCTGCATAAAACTGCCCTGCTGAAAACGGATATGAAAACATAAAAAATCACACGTGACTCACGTGGTTTTAGCAGTACTATTGTCTCCTTCTCCTCAGTTCGTTCAGCTGGCGGTTCGAGTATTCCATTCGTGTTCTCCACCTCGTTGAGTAGGCGGCGTTTCAAGAAGAGCGGTAGAGCCTCCATTACCTCGTCAGTGGCATTCATACCGCCGCCACCACCGGCGTCGTCGGCGTCCTCCATGATGGTTGGGCTGGAAAGGTGCAACCGCTGGAGGATACTGGTTTTAAACTTCTCAATGGCCATCTGACGCACCAGCTCCTCCTCGTCCTCTTTTCCGGCGACGGTGACGGCGGTACTATCGCCGCCCCTCCTCAACACCTGCCTAGACAGCTCACCGGCATCCAGTTGGCGTTCGTTGTTGCGGTAAGCCTGCAACAACTCCATCTCCTCCTCCGTCATGGCATCGGATGTCAAATTAGCGGACGCGGACGAAGAAGAAGCTTGCCCTCCTCCTCCCTCCTCCCTCCGATCTTCTTCCTCCTCATAGTAGGAGGAGACGGCGGCGGGAAGCAGACGAGAGGCGG